ACATAAAATAACAATTAAATAACAAGTAATAACAATGAATGAATATCACAAAATATTTCTGTAGAAATAGAATATCTGGTATCAGTGTGTAGTTATGATAGTTCCTCTATTGTTAAGTATTTATATTACCAAGGTCTCCAAGCAATATTGATGTTATTATTGACGTCAATAGTTTGAGCATGTTCAGTTGAAATATCAATAGGAACAGCTAGTGAAGAATTATATCTTCTGTACTCTGGTAAGTTAATATATTGGTAAGTAGTTGTTGGATATTGAACATAGTTTTTGTTATTTTGTGTTGGTTGAATATTTCTAGTTACATGTTGTACTAGATGATATTTTACATTGTCTGATATTTCTGTTACACCATTTAAAAAACACATCATTTCTTGTACACATCTTGAGAATCCTGTTTTAAATATAGTTTGATTTTCTCTGGTATCTTTTACGTCTGGTGAATATTTAGTCTTCTTGATAAATTCAACAGCAGATTCTAAAATTTCAACTTTCTCCATTTTATTTTCACCAAGATCTGTCTTTACATTTTGATCTTCAGTTAGCAAACTTTTAATCTGGTTTAAATATTCATTTATTCGATTTCGTCTTTTCTTTTCAGCTAACAATTTTCTTCCTTTTCTAAAACTACTGAAAGATTTAGAATCCATGTTAAATATAAATCAGGAAGATATATTCACGTGTAGTTTTTTATTTTCTAATGATGAAATTGTGAGGTTTAATTATTTTATATCATTCCTTAGTACAAGTGTCACAAACAATATCACGTGACAGTAATGAAGCATGCCTATACGATTGACCAATCAGTGAGGTGTATTGTGTATCGGCACGCGACTAGATTAGTCTCGAGACAGATGTTTAGATAATTTTAATTGTCTGGCACAAAATGCGTCATTTAGTTTTTGTATGACACTTGGCGTTGTTGCTGATATGACAGGACAAGGTAGATGTTCTAACGAGGATACATTATTAACTCGTTAGAGTTAAGCAAATGTAATATTATGATATATTGAGTTATTTCCCCTAACCAGCCTCAAAACGGGGTAGATGTATCTGAAATATCTGAGATTGCCCGAATTTCTAACCTAGTTATAAGATTTTTGCCCGAAAAAGTCCTTTCGGTGCTGCGAGTTGGGGAGGGTGGTTGTCCCTGTTTATGTTTAAGGAGTTCGGGAATTCTTGATTAAAGTTCTGATGTATGCAGATGATACTACCATGCTGGTATCCCATATAGACCCTGCTGGTGTGATCCCTTTTGAGTTATCTAGAATGCTAGAGTCACGTCATGTGTGGTTAACTCGACAATATGTTGTCCCTACATCTGGGAAAAACGGAGAGCATAATCTTTGGTCCGAACAAAAAACTTAAATCTCTTATGCCGGATAAAAGCTTTGTAAATACTTAGGAATTACAAGCGATCAATTCCTAACTAGCGACTATATTGTTAATTCCATAATTAAAAAAGTCAATCAAAGGCTTAATTTTTTATATAGAAATAAAGAGTGCTTAGATTTACAATCTAGAAAAACTTTATGCTCTTCTCTTATTCAATGTCCCTAATCTCAATGGCACTTTGACTATGCATGTACATGCGGGTATGAGGGTTTGTCAAAACAATGAAGAATAAAATCCAGGTTGCTCAAAATAAAATTGTGACATTTATTCTTCAATTACATCATAGAGAAAGAGTGACATTGAATTTGAAATTTTTTTAAATATAAGTAATAGAGTAACACAGTTGAGACTTAATCATGTATTCAATATATAACAACTTGTGCCCAGATAATTTACATACAAATTTTGTTAGAAACACAACAACCTATACAAGATCAAGCAATAACTATTTCTGTAAACCTAGAGTTAGTGAAGCTTCCACTTAATTTGTTCTCTGACAGTAATGTACCTAATATCTTGAATAATTATTATTATCATTTTCATTATTATCATTATTCGACTTTTCTCGGGTTTTGTCAATTTAACCAAAATTGGCCATTGAAAGTGACATTTTACATCTGTCTTTACTCAAAAAATCGCAGTTGACAATTTTCTATTCTATATTTTCTAGCAAAAATGAGATCAGAAGTCGACCTGCTATTCACAGCATAAGCGATGTTGTTAATGTACAGACGAACGTACAGGGCGACTACATCAAGTGGGTGTAATAAAAAAAATGAAGCAAGTGTTATGCTATATCATTAATTGTGTATATCTGATACGCTAAGATATTTAGTAAATTATTTCTTGTGTGAACATATTGACATGTCATATCAGTAGCAACGCCAAGTGTCATACAAAAACTAAATAACGCATTTTGTGCCAGACAATTAAACTAATCTAAACATCTGTCTCGAGACTAATCTAGTCTCGTGCCAATACACAATACACCTCACTGATTGGTCAGTCGTATAGGTATGCTTCATTACTGTCACGTGATATTGTTTGTGACCTTTTATTAAGGAATGTTATAAAATAACTGAACCTCACAATTTCATCATTAGAAACTAAAAAACTATATCTACCTGATTTATATTTAACATGGATTCTAAATCTTTCAGTAGTTTTAGAAAGGGAAGAAAATTGTTAGCTGAAAAGAAAAGACGAAATCGAATAAATGAATGTTTAAACCAGATTAAAAGTTTGCTAACTGAAGATCAAGATGTAAAGACAGATCTTGGTGAAAATAAAATGGAGAAAGTTGAAATTTTAGAATCTGCTGTTGAATTTATCAAGAAGACTAAATATTCACCAGACGTTAAAGATACCAGAGAAAATCAAACTATATTTAAAACAGGATTCTCAAGATGTGTACAAGAAATGATGTGTTTTTTAAATGGTGTAACAGAAATATCAGACAATGTAAAATATCATCTAGTACAACATGTAACTAGAAATATTCAACCAACACAAAATAACAAAAACTATGTTCAATATCCAACAACTACTTACCAATATATTAACTTACCAGAGTACAGAAGATATAATTCTTCACTAGCTGTTCCTATTGATATTTCAACTGAACATATTCAAACTATTGACGTCAATAATAACATGAATATTGTTTGGAGACCTTGGTAATATAAATACTTAACAATAGAGGAACTATCATAACTACACACTGATACCAGATATTCTATTTCTACAGAAATATTTTGTGATATTCATTCATTGTTATTACTTGTTATTTAATTGTTATTTTATGTTATATTCAATAGATGAATAAATTGTTATGTTATGTTATGTAAAATTGATTCATATATCGCAAATATTTTAGAAACACTGAATTCATGTTTACAATAATCTTCACAATGTCAAGCTTTTATGAGCTTCTTGTCAAGTTCGTAAAAGCTTGACATTGTGACGATGTGCTCAAAGTTAAGATTACATGTCCTTAGTTTTACCTTAGCCTTAAACTTTGTGTAGAGAACAAACCGATAATGTAAGATTAAAGACAAAAAATAACGGTTGTTGTATTAATGTTGTCTGGTTCTATAAAACCTATGTTTTCGTACCGTTGATAAAGAACTTTCTTCTGTGCAGATACACGGCCTTACAAGATTAAAACTCCGGATATACCAATGTATCGCATGAAATTGCTACGAACGCTCCTCGAAAGCATATTAAATTGAGAAACTATAGCCTTAACATCTTTGTTATATTCACCTAGAGCACGTGTCTCTAAATCGAATACTTTTGGATTGCTATATAAATATATATGATGGATCATATTATGTAGTAGTACCAAAATGTGTGCACTATTTTTCATCGTGTTTAGTAAAAGGTTTTATAGATCAGATACTCTCCAATAAACACTGGCCTTGGTCACAAATATATAAATAAAGTGAAATCTTTAATACTAAACAGTCAAAATGATTCTTAATTGTCAAACGATATAATAAATAACTTCAATGTCAGTTTCCGAATATTTACACTAAACATTTGGTTACTGTTTTTAAAATAAATAAAACTCTAGTAATTTACTTGTCCATGACATAGGCGATCCCATTCCATAAACTCTCTGAAACAATTGTATAAGTTAGATTCCTTTACAATTTTTAAGCTATACAAAATTTCAGCATATTATCTTTTGCACTAAGTAAAATAATATGTAATACATGTATATATTTAATTTAATTTAATTTTTTTACTTAAAATTATAATAGATATTACTAATATATTTGTTCTCTTCTTTGACTTTGGTCTGTGCTTCTATATGAATGTATCTTCTACAATAATAAAATATTGTCAATAGTGCCTAATTCATCAACATTGTAGAGCGATATAGAAATATTAAATCCGAGTTAAAAACGTGTTGTTGTTACTCAGAGTAGTTCTCTCTTATTATTGCAAATGGCAAGTTAGACCGACACATCTGTCTCAATTCCAGCCTCTGACTGGTGTAGTGACAGAAAAAGAAGGACAGTCAAATGGATATTTCCACATCTCCGCAGGTGCGGATACCTCGATACCTCGGATCTACAAAACCCAGACATATTTGTAAAGATGAATATTCTTGTATTTCAGTCATTTCATCATTTTCTCCCACCACCATTCATGTCTCCGTTTTCATCAAAGTTTTTTTTAACGAAATTGATTTCGCATCGGCCATTTAAAAATGCTTGCGCATCCAAAATTTCAAAATGAAAGTTACGGTGATGCCCAACACTAACTTACAGTCGACGTAAAGGTAATTTAATATTATGTTAGAAAAAAACGCAACTTCGGAGGTGTGGAAAATCCCCATTTAACAAGGTTTTTTTTCTGACTTTACTCCAGCCGACAACGCGATAACAGTTACTGTCAGAATATCCATCAGAGGTTGGAATAGAGGCAGATGCTTCAGACTATAAATGACAAGTCGGTACTAACTGATAATTTTTATCTTAAATTCCTCTGTTTATTTTTAAAATTAATTAACCCTTACTTAGCTTATCAGCACATTTGAATAAGTAGTTCTTGCTCCTTTCCTAGTAATTTGCTTTTTATAAGTTAGATTTTCATTTGGCTTTAGTACAACAAGCAATAAACAAGCAAGCTTAATACATGTTATCAGCCGAAGATGTGTCACAGGCATGTAACATTTTCTTTCACTTCATGTCAGGAAGCAACTTGAATGTATGAATTGTGGCGGGAGTTGCTAGCACAGCAGGACCTCCTCACCAGCTCAGATCAGTTGATGTCAATCTGCGTTTGGATTTGTCAACTCGAAACCCCTGGGTAACAATGTCTTTTGGCATAATTATTCTTTTCGTCAAAAAACTATAAATTCCATTCAAACAAGAAAAACAATTTATTCATCTATTGAATAACATAAAATAACAATTAAATAACAAGTAATAACAATGAATGAATATCACAAAATATTTCTGTAGAAATAGAATATCTGGTATCAGTGTGTAGTTATGATAGTTCCTCTTTTGTTAAGTATTTATTACCAAGGTCTCCAAACAATATTCATGTTATTATTGACGTCAATAGTTTGAGTATGTTCAGTTGAAATATCAATAGGAACAGCTAGTGAAGAATTATATCTTCTGTACTCTGGTAAGTTAATATATTGGTAAGTAGTTGTTGGATATTGAACACAGTTTTTGTTATTTTGTGTTGGTTGAATATTTCTAGTTACATGTTGTACTAGATGATATTTTACATT